AGAAAATCAAAAACTAATAGATATTAAGAACTAGAGACTCATTTGAGCAGGTATCAACACTAAAAAGTTAAAATTCACAGGATGGAAATGAACCATTTCTGCCTTAGAATGATCTTGAGCAATATCAGAACAAGTATACGAGCAAATGGACTAGTACATACCCATGGACCACTACGGAACCTACCTGCACCACTGAGGGATTATAAGACCACATGCCTATATAAAGAAAGTACTATTGTCTAAAGAAAGATACTTTCCCTTAGTATCAAAATTGATTTGAAATTTCAGTATTGTGACAGCCCCACAATCCACACATTTTCACACATGAAATGTTGTGGAAGAGAACATCCCCATGAGCAGGGGCTTCATGACTCATAAGAGACCAAAACACTCAAAGATTGAGTTATAGTGAAGAGTTTAGAAAAGTACAATTTGAACAACTTTTGTTAAGGTCATGTTCCCAGTTAAAGCTGCATTATGTAGCCACCATCTTGTCTCCGTGGGGATGTAATAGCTTCAATGTTGGTGCTGCTGAGCTGGTTCCAGGAGGGTGGACCTGACACAGTAACTGAATTTAGTAACTGAGACATTAGTGCTTTTTATTCTGTCCTCACTGCGCTGTCACTACCACAGTGAGACATGTTCATGCTCTACACGAGTGTATAGAGAAGACTTGTCTTTACACACCTGTCTCTTTGTAAAACTGTAAAACAGAACACAAAAATGTGAATGAACAAACTGTATATGCGATGTAGATGTAAGTACAACTGGTACATAAATATGAATGTATAAATACTTTGTTGTATAAAATTTCCAAAAGTATATTTAATGAGGTCAAACATTATATATATTTATTTCAGCAAAGTGTAAGTCTGAACTCATGACGTACTTTAAAATAGGATGGAGTTAATAACAAGAGCTAGAAGTAGCTAACATTTTAAATGTACCATCTGTATTCTATTTAAATTGAAACAACAACAACATGAAGCAAAGTTAAACTTACAAACATGCCCCAAGGCTGAACATGGACGTGTATCGTCTGACTGCACTGTGAGCCCAGCACCACCAAGCCTATGCTTCAATAACTCACATTGCACTGAACTGACTCCTGTGAACTTTAAGCCATGTTAGAATGCATTTCCTCATCAAAAACAGACCTGGAGTTGTGTTTTGTTTATCAAGAATCATTTGGATGATTTCAAGCTCAAGCATTTTGAACTTGGGAGATGTAGACATAATAACCATGTATGAAGCAAAACACAAGTCCAGGTCTGTTTTAGAGGAGGTAACATTCTAACATGGCTTAAATCTCAAGAATCCATTTTGCATAATATAGTTTCTTTAAATTCCTATTCAAAACCGTATGATCTGCACTTGTCTCGTGTAGATTCCAAATTGGCCTCACACTTTCCCTTCCTTCCCTGGGCCCTGCTTGAGCTGTTGGCCCGTGTTGAACCAGGACCCGCCCCCCGCTGCTCCTGCACCTGCCTCTGGTCCCGTCCTGCCGCTTGATTGACAGCTATGGGACCGCCGCGTGCACTTACCCCTGCCAAACGCCCCTGCAGCCCCAGCCTTCTGCTAGAACGGGGGCACTTTTGACATTAACTTATACCCTAGCAGCATGTCTCACGCCCCGTCCCCCCTCCCGAACAGGACCGGGAGGCGGGAGGTGTTTTCGCAGTGACGCATTACAATGTCATGTCGGTGATATATTTGTATAATGGTCCTGCGGGAGACGGGGGAGCACCTGTCGTTTTGTACTTGGCCTTGAAAACCAAAGGAGGGGTTTTCTCAGGTGGGGAGACATGTGAGGGCATTTTTTGGGATGCAGACTAAAAAAGTAAACATTCAAAATAACATTGCACACCTGTACTAGGGAAAATAAAGCCTATTTTTTGAGCTTTCTACCATATGAATCCGTGTGTCATTTGTTCATTCGTTTTTTCAAAATAAAACCAAAAATAAGAAAATGGAAAAAAAATATATATTCATATATATATTATTATTATATATATATATATATATATATATATATATATATATATATATATATATATATATATATATATATATATATATATATATATATATATATATTATATTTTTCTTCATTATTTGTCTCCAAAACCAAAATGAAAAAAACAGAACAATTCGTTTTTTTCCGTTTTTTGTTTAGATGAATAATGGGAAAAACGGGTAATGGCAGTTTCCTGTTTCCGTGACTTAAACTGCAATGCCGGACTTCTGCGCCACATATGGGCTGATCCCAGGACTAAAGCAAGACTAAAGCAAGACTAAACAAGAACTGAACCAGGTCTAAGCCAGATCTGAACCGGTGTCTGTCTCGGTCTCAGTCCTGATCACCCAACAGTCTACGTGGGCGCACCTCCAGGCCTGTCCCGACACTCCTAGTCCAGGACTGCGACCAGGACTGCGACCAGGACTGCGACCAGGACTGCGACCAGGACTGCGACCGGTTTAGACCTGGGATCAGTCCGCATGTGGCGCAAAAGTCCAGCATTGCAGTTTAAATTATGGAAATGGGAATCTGCCGTTATCCTTTTTTTTTCCATTATTCATTTAGACCCAAAATCGAAAACTGAAAACAAATCATTATCAGTTTCATGTTGGTTTTGGAGACAAAGGAAATAGTTTAGAAAACGAAAACTATGTTCTAGTTATTTAACTATTTTATATTTTTGGTTTGATTTTTCGAAAAATGAATGAACGAATATGCCATGAGTGTTCTAAAATGATTCATACTCTAATATTGTTCCCTCATTAAAAACATGTCTGAAGGTGTTTTAGATGTCATCCATGCACGTCTGAGTCTCTCCTGGGCCCTATTCAAACCCTCCTTATGGTTAGCCGCAAGATTTTGTACATTGCTCCGCCCACAAGCCTACATCACCCATGCTCCTACACGACAATTCTCCCCAAATATACAAAAACATGATAAAAAAACTGCACAGCAACTTGAACAAACCTGATGCAATGTGGAATAGTTTAATTCAGAGGTGGAAATGCTGATTTTGTTGTGACAGCGCTCTGAAGGGGGAGTGACTTAACGCAGGGAGCACAAGGAGAGTTGTCATAATATGTGAGGTATAAAAAGTATATGTAAAAAAGAGAAACGTTAATTCACATTACAAAGGTGCATGTTGTATTTGTAGTACTTTTAATGAAAAGTTAATGGCATGTCTGTATGTTCTTCTAATATGACTGACACCAAGTCATGTGCAATACTTAAACACTATGTAACAAGGGGTTGTTGTTATTATATAATAAATGTCAGTAAAAACTGATTTGTAAATGGCTGAATTGATGACCAGAAGATGGCCGTTAGGACTACTGGAGAGCAGTAAATGAAGATGCAGAATGATTTAACTGAAAATGAATAATGTGTAATGTACAGAAATAAAAGTGAAAGAACCCAATATGTACAAGTGCTGCAGCAAACCAAAAGCAATAAAAGATAATTCAAAACCAGAATCAATTAAATGTCCTTTGAAGCTGAATCTCAATCAAAACCTGGTCTGTTCTCCCAGTGTGGGAAAAACAAAAATCAAGCAACCCTGATAGTCCATAATCACTTATTGTGAAAGGTGCATTGTCCATTAAGCGCAATTTGTCCGACAGTTTCAATAGTTTGTGTAGCTCGAATAGGTGGAAGAGTGAAAGGGACAGGCTGTTCGCCTCCTACCAGCCCGGAGACTTGCTCTTAAGATGTCTTCTAGCTCCCCGTCAGTTTGACCCAGTACTTTGACCAGCACCTTGCCTGTGTACACATTAAAAATCTCTTATAACATTGTTATTAAACATAGCATTAGTTTTACCTGTTGTAATGTTGCTAATCAAAATCTAATCTAAAAACAGTATCTTAACAATTCAAGTAGCACATGTTAGCATTTAGCATGCCAAGGCTAGTTAGCATGGCTATTAATTATTAATTATTATTATTATTAATTATATCATTGAGATCAGGATGACAAAATAAAATGGCTGACACGCATGTTAGCATAAGCATGTTAGCATTAGCATTAATGCTAACCAAGACAAAGGGCTAACATGCGATCAAAACTAGTGATGTGACGCTCCGTATCGAGGCTTCGAAGCGTGTGTCGAGTTGGGAGGGGGCGTGTCCGCGATGCGCGTATCGAGGCTCGCTTCATTTAGGGGAGGAGCTGAAAATGATGACGTCCGAAGCCTCGCTGCCCGGCTGTACCACGTGACTGCTTCAGGAAGTGGTTCAGATTTTGCTGCGATTTCCATTTTCATCATTTCCAAATAATCATTTTCCATACTGCCAGTACATAGATACACAGTTCACTGCCATCACTATAATATACATGTTTTGCATACTTCTTTATTTTGCTGACAGTTTTATTCACAGGCTTTCTGCAAAATGTCACACACTTCAAATTCATGTCAACTGATATTTTTGTGTCCAGTAGACGTCCTGCTAGAGCAAATGAAGCTTCAAGAAGCTTTGCGCTGGAGTGAACCAATTGGATGAAAGGCTTCAATGCTTCATGAAGCTTCATTTGCCCATCACTAATCAAAACCCACGATCCAAATTTACCAGTTCAGTTCAAATGTCCGGCACACAGGAAAGTGTCCCAACAAAAGGTCTGCTCTTTAAAGAGGAGCATGTCTCTGTCCTCGGGCTTCTCCCCCACACATCTGAGGAGTGTGAAGTCAGGGACCTTCTTATACTCAGTGTGCCAGATTGTGATTGGATAATTGGGTGGAGTGGGCGGAGCAGTGGGCGGTGACACATCATGTAGCATGGAGGAAAACCCGGGGTGGATCTTAGATCTTACCGGATAGGATTTAGCCCTGGTTACAACTATTTTAAGAATTTCATGCAATCAAAACTGAAAAGAAGTTCGGTGTTAGAGTTGTATAATAGTGTATATATGGTTGTATAAAGTGACCTATATTTTTGACAGTTAATAATATAAAAGTAATTCTTGTTTTGTTTTGTGTGTTCTCCACAGAACGGACAGCTGCAGCAGCGTCTGGATAACGTCCAGAGAGACTTCATCATCTTCAACCGAGAAAAGTAAGAGCTGCTCTGAGCGGGGAACATTCAATAAGTGATTGTGAAGGACCGGGCTGAAGGACTACTGCTTTACACTTCTCCTCTTTTCTGCTGCTTTGAGCTTTTTCTGTCTTAAAAAAGAAACAATATGTTTTTTATCTGGGTATTTAGTGATGAACTATAACATTTATAACTATAACATACATACAACAGATCATTATTTTACATTTTGTTCATTGTAAACCTCAAGGCTCATCTAAAATGGCTTCATAATAGAAACATCCCTGTTCAAACTTCAGAAATGAAAGGCTCCACGTCTTCAGAGAGATAGACACTTTATTGATCCCAAAGGAAATTCAAAGTTCAGCAGCAGCAACACAGAAAGACGGTGAAATGTCACCGTAACAAGCAGCAGGTCTGTGTGTTTATGTTTTTTTGCTGAACATTTTAAAATACACCACGAGGAAAAGGTCAGTGTAGCTATATTAGCTCTAAATTATTTTTGATTATTGAGTACACCATGTGGTGTTTCATTAGACATGAACCTAGAGCTGCATCTGTTTAGTGTTTCAGATTCAGTTAGATTAGATTAGTCATGTCACATATGTTTCAATATGTTTTGTTTTGTTCTTTTTTTTACAAGTGAAAAAAATATAGCAGTTTATTATTTGCAGAGAGTTATGTACAGATTAAATATATAGAAAAAATATTTGGAAATTTGCAGTACAAACATTGGTTTGACCCATCATAAAGTGTAATAGTAATTGTACTGCTATACTTGAGTACAGGGCTCACCGCTCTGTATCTCTCCACCCACTTCCAAGTAGCTCGCCAAGAGAGTTCCGAATTACACGTATTGTCCCCAATAAGTCAAATTTGATTGATTAAATGCCTATTACCATTGCAGTTGTATAATTTTGATACCTAAATTTGTAAACTAATAAACGAATAATGGTTTATGTTTTATAGACATCGAACTGTACCCGATCTAAGGCTCGCCGTAGCTCTTACATTTACTCAATTTCTACTGAGTGTTAAAATTAATAGCTCTCTGGCATGTTTGTTTTGTAAAAGTAGCTCACCCCTGCTTTAGTACAGTATATACTAAGACTGCAGCTGTAGAGCACAATAGTTTGATTTGACACATTCTGAAATATTTTTAGGGGCTATTTTGTGATCTTTTATGGGAGTCAACATAAAGTACTCAATTAGAAGCACCTCTCTGTTGTGTACACTTTGGTATAGACATTAAAATCATACTACCCATGTCAAATAAAAAAAATACAAACACATGCTCATGATACAAACGGTAATAATAACAAATGTACCTCCTCCTCAGATCCAAGAAGACCACGCTGGACTCCGAATCGTCCGAGCTGTCCGTCACTGAGAAGAACAAGGCCATAGAGGACGGACAAAACAACAACGTGGAACCTGCTTCTTACGTATCAGGATAGGCCCTTTTCCCCCGTCGCCCCACCTGCCCGCAGACCCCCCCCCCCCCAGACCTGCCCACGTACCCGCCCATAGACTCCCACCACAACAGCACAAACCCGTCCCGTCCTGTCACGCTCCCGAACACCGTCACTGGACAGCACTGTGCGTCAAAATTACGGATGGCGAGAACGAAACACACTTCGAAGACTTTCTTGTATTTTGCTGGTGCTTCTGACCCGAAAACGAAGGACTAAACCAGGCTCAATGGAGAAAGACTTTAAGAAAACGTGTTGGACGGACTCACAACCTGGATTTACACATTGCAAAAAATGAAATAAAAAAGCCACAAATATTGAAATAGAGCTAAAAAAAAAAAATCAGGAATGACTTTTGGCAGGTTGGCAAAGAAACTGCGACCATGCTGCTTAAAGGTAGACGCTAAAATAGAAGGTTTAGCTCGCGAAGATAGTAGCATAGCACAGGCGCTGATTCAGATTAACGAAATATTGTGGAAAAGTCGATTTTTTTTCAAGCTGAATTATATTTAGAGAGAGTTTAGAATTGTTTTAGTACATTTTGAGATTGTCCTTTGCGATTAATTGCGGGGATTAGAGTGTCCACAAGGTTCGATTCGTGGACCGTGAGGCTTTTCCGTTTGGTGTTTGCATGTTCTCCCCGTGCGTAGGTGGTGGGTGTGTTCCAATTTCAAATTTCTCAGTAGCGATGTTACGAAGGATATCCTGTGCGGTAACTTTTTTGGTGGTCTCCGTGGAGATGTTAATGCTTTGCCCGGAAAGTTCCACAACGTTAAAAGTATCTACCTTGGATTTATTCAGTTACAGGTGTTTGTTCTTGTTCTTGGCCTGGTGCTCGTCTCGTCTCCATGGAGATTGATGAGTTTAACGCAATACTGTGGAACATTCAAGGCAAACCATATAACGGGTGACTGACTGACCCTTCACCAGAAAAGTTCCACAGCGTCTTTTTTTAATAGGGAGACCAGATGTCCCTATTTACCCGGGACAGTCCAAGTTTTGAGCGCTGTGTCCCCTGTCCCAACAGATTTATCCAAAACTATTCATTTGTCCAAGTTTTATACACGAAATGTCCCAGGCGTCCCTGTTTTTTGACCAATTTGATCTAAACCAGGTCTAAACTAAGACTAAACCAGGACTACATCAGAACTATCACAATTTTTGACTAACGTATTTTTCTGACTATAAGTGGCTCCGGAGTATAAGTCGCACCAGCCAAAAATACGTAATGAAGAAGGAAAAAAAAACATATATAAGTCATACCAGACTATGATTTTGGGGAAAATTTATTTTATAAAATCAGAGACCAGGAACTGACATTTCCTGTTGAAAGTCACGTTCTGTTAATAACAATAGAAGAGAGAACAACAGACTGTTAACGTCACATATGAACAGTTCTTCAGATAAACTACAACATAAACAACAGAACAGAACAAGTTTACCAAACTCTCCATCTCACTCCAAATCACTAAATCCATTCAATTCTTCATCCTCGGTGTCACTTCTGAACAACTCTGGGATTCCTCTTCTGTGTCGCTGTCGTCAGACTCAGCGTCAGTTCCAATTAGAATTATTCCGGCCTTTCTGAATCCCGACAGGATGGATTTGCTGTCACTGAAGTCAATTAAATTATAAATGTTCAGTGGTGCAGAAGTAATGCTGCGATCGACTGACATGATACAGACAGGACAGAGGCTCTTTCTGCAGGAGACATGCGCAGTAGAGTGAAGTGACAGTGGTACAGGAGGAACAGGAGCAGCAGATACTGACACACAAGACTAAAGCCTCTCGCAGCTGTCAGTGTGAACATTTTAATATATAAGTCAAACCGGAGTAGAAGTCACAGGAAACACTTAAACCATGAAAAAAGTGCAACTTATAGTCTGAAAAATACGGTAATCAAATCCTCGCCAACAGTAAAGACAAGCATAAATTGTTATTTCTTCAGCCAAAATACCATGTTTGCAAATGATTATAAATTAATAAAAAATGCAGTGTCAGAAGCCCCTCAGATTATGACGCGAAAATCCACAATGTTGCATACTCTTTTCACAATTTTATTCATACCAAACATCCCAGCCGGGGTGTGTCCCAGTTTAGAATTTAGAAAATCTGGTCACCCTACTTTTTAATAATCAAATCTACATTATACTTTGAATTCCACTACTCCAATGTAACTTTTCCAAAATGTTGAACTTATGCACTGAAGGATAGGTTAAAGGGAACTGCTAGAGGTTAGTATCTATAGATAGAAAACACAACGTTAGTCTAGCGAGGAAAGTAGTGTAGTTAATATGGGGAAAATATTGCATCAGCTGAAGACATAGGCAGAAATTGTAGGCTTGAACTCTATGCTCTGTAGCAGCATTAGCTTATAAGTGAATACGACTGAGGATTTAGTACAAATGTCTCTTAAAGAAGACGTATCGTGCTTTTGTTTGTTATATAGTTACAGCATTATGTCAATTTCAAAGGTCCATATTGCTCTTCTTTTCTTCCGATCTATGTTATAATGTTGTTTCGTCATCGCAAACAGACCTGGAGTTGTGTTTTGTTTCATTTATGCATGATTTAACACACAAAACCTGCATATTTAGGCTGAGTTCTTTTCTCAAACAGAAAACACTCTATTCTACCTTGTGATGTCATGAGGTAGGGCGTGCTCCACTGTGTTTTCAAACTCCGTACACCTTCACTAGAATCATTTGCATGATTTCAGCCAATGTCTACTGAACAAAAATGTAAAAGGTAGCTGCTACTAGTGTGAAAACTACCACTTCATGACATCACAAGGTGTAAAAGAGCATTTTGAGCTTTGGAGATGTACACAGACTAATAATAAAGTGTTACTCAAACATGTGTGAATGAAACAGAACATAACTCCAGGTCTCTTTTTGATGAAGGAGCAACATTTGAACATGGCTTAAACTTCACAAGAGTCAGTTGTGTAATATCGGAACTTAAAACACAATATCGATCTAAAACAGGGGTCTCCAACTTGTTGCTCAGGAGATACCAGTAGCTCTCCACTCCCTTCCAAGTAGCTTGCCAAGGGATATTTAAATTATATGTATTGTCCTGAATAAGTCAAACTGGATCAATTAAATGCCTATTACCATTGTACATGGGTCCGGTCAAGCGGTAACGGAGGGAAACAGGGCAGATTTTTCACATTCAGATATCTCTTATTAAGAAACTAGAGGGACTATTGAAATAAGTAAAGTATCAGAATGTAGGAAAGAGTTACACTCCAACAGGGTAAAGTTAAACCTGTGATATTCTTTCTAGTTGTTGACAAAAAATTAAAAAACTCATGTCGGTAACGGAGGGAATGAAATATGCAGCACTTTTTGGGCAATAAATACAAACAGTGATAACTCTTGGTTCTCACTTACATATCCTTAACAAACTGGTTTGAATATTTGCTTCATATAGTTTTCTACCATATGGTACAAGATTAGTTTGAAAAACCTCTTACTTTTTGAGTCATGAGATTTTTTATTAAGAAAGGTCATGGTAACGGAGGGAAAAGTAACGGAGGGAAAATTGTGCAAGTACAAGTAGAAAGTGCATGATTTTACATAATTTGTCAACTTTTTCTTCTCTGAATACTTTAATATTACTTCAAAATGAAAGGAAACTATTTCTATAAAATATATATGTCAGTCCTTCCAAGCAAATTTTTATCATTTTAAATACTTTTTTTTTTGAAAAAAATCATGTACCTTCATCAACAGTTCAAAGATGGAATAACACAAGATATGATGAAATACATCCATTTATTTACATGATTTGCAGGTCTTTGAAATTTGGGAAATAATTTTTGTTCCATGTTTCATACATGGTCTGTTTAAAACGTATGGAACTTTAGAACCAAAAATGTTACAGAAAAAAGGTAAACAGTTTCATAAACTAGAGTACATATGTATCTGTTCAATACATTTTTATATCAGATGCATTAACTTGAATGTTTGGCCTTGATGTTTACTTCTGCTTGACCGGGCCCTGATGTATTATTTTAATGTTTAACTTTGTGCACTAATAAATGGATAATGGTTTATGTACAGGGGTCAATGATAAGGATTTAAAACAGGCCAATTTTAAAATACAAAAAATATTAGTGAACTTTTTTCAAATATTTACAATGCTACGTATGCATAAATCTAGGTTTAACATTTATATTAAGCATTTTTTAGTGTTTTTTCCATGTACATGAATTGGCTATGACCTTAAATTGGGTGCGACCGAGAATAACCTTATAATTGTTTTATTCTAAAACATGGTTGGGATATTAATCTAAGTTCTGAGTAATATGAAGTGTAAGAAAGCTGAAATTTCATGTGGGACTACAAAACACTTCAGAAAATATGCCAAAAGAGAAAGAAAATACATTTGATTCGATTTAGAGTAATTGTAAAGAAGTTTAAAAATCAGCAGTTAAGGGCGGACAGTCCCACCACATGATGTTTAATACTTTAAGTACAAAAAACATTTCTGAAAAAATGATTTGGTTCCATGGAGGTCAGAGGTATTACAGATATGTGGTGAATTATTATGAAAGTTGAACATTTTAAACTGAAGAAATTGCAATTGGACAGAAAATGTAGACGTCGTGTCATTGACCCATAGACATTTAACTGTACCTCGTTTAAGACTCGACTAAAATATTCTGTACCTCGTTTCTTGTGACCGCTGAAACTAGTAGCTCTCTGGCATTTTTGTTTCATAAAAGTAGCTCACCAGAGGATAAAGGTTGGGGACCCCTGATCTAAAACAACAAAGTCTGCTGATTTCTGAGTTTGAAACTTGCGATGCCCAATGGAACAGGTTGTAACTGTCATCACAACAAAGAAGAATCGTACATGGATCACAGTTTCAGAAAATCAAATTGGAGAATAAATAAGTACAGAGCAACAGAGCAGGGGGCTTGTATCGGTGAAAACAGAGATAGATCGAAGCAAATTTGTTGAATTTGAAGAAAAAAA